AGTCAGTCAATCATTCAATCAATCAATCACTTTATTATATTTCACCTGTGTTGACCGCTCCTGCACCCGTCGTATATTTGTAGATCTGTGTTTAGGATATTATTCTTTGAGGGCATTATTAAACGATGCATTATATTAGTTTAACGCCTACTCAATGTAAAATCTGGTATTTTAAGAAATCAGTAACAATCGCACCATTGATAGCCAAAAATTACATATAATAGATATTTAGTACATACAGACGGCCCAATAGCAATTTATGCCCTTTGACATTTTTCACTTTTATCCACTGTAATTATCTTAAACACAATCCCATTTCAGCTTGTTATGTCACTGGTATTGGGACACAAAGAAACAAATCGCAAAATCTTAACACAAATTCACACACAAACATATGTATAAGGATAAAAAGAAAGTAAATATATAGACGGAATTGATGACCTCTGGGATGAGGAACACTAAAGAGGAGAGCACGAACAATCCATTGAAGAAAATCCGATTAATACGATATTTATTAGCCAAATACCAACACACTAAAATGAGTTCTTACCAAGGTGGAGCCTAAGAAAATAAAAGGTGTGACCATATTTACCAAAAAACAACTCCTATATACAACTAGATGTGTTTGGGGAACAAGATTTATGGCAATATTTATTGATCCACAACAAACACAACATGGGCTAAACTAATTACCGTTGTAGTTAGAGTTTAACACATCAGAATAAGGCTATAAAATCATATATTATATATTTCTTATTATTAAAAAAGTAATCACAAATCTTAATCGATATAGATTGTGGAGCATTTTTTAAGGGCAGGAAGAATGATAAAAATATAACATATAGGGTGAGTTGAAAAAACTGCAACCAACTTCAGACTGCTGTAATTTATAAGCCACTCGCTCGACTGCTGTTAACATTATTCCAGTGATAGCTCAGTACATTGTTTACAAGCGCACAAAAGTATTTTGGTGAGAATTTTCCAGAAAAAAAAAATTATTCGTAATGGAATTCAAGCATGTTAGTGTGATTTCTGTATATTTGCCTGGAAAGCCACAAGTGACTATCGTTAGAGCTCTCTAGCATTTAAATGTGAATAAATCTTTTGTGTTTCGTAACATTGCTCGTTTCCGTGATACTGGTAGCGTAGCCCGACGGAAGACGACAGCAACATCAGCAGAAATGTTTCGAAATGTAAAGAAGCGTCTTGATCGAAAACCATGTCGTAGTGGCCGAAAAATGGATCGTGATGTGAACATATTGCAATATTCAATTCGGCAAATATTGAAAAACGAGCTCGGGGTAAAGCCATTGAAATTCCGAAAAGTGCAAGAACTTACATCGCAACAGAAAGAAAATAGACTCAAAAGAGCTAAAGAGTTGCTTGGCTTGGCCGAAAGTAGTAAAAAATTAGAAAACATTCGTTGTCCAGCAGTTTGTAAACAAACAAAATGATAGTGTTTACTTGCCAAAGAAGTCAGCTGAAAATGTGCACCTTCGGTTGGTTACCAGAACTCAAGCGCCGGCTACGGTGATGGTGTGGGCCGCCATAACAGCCGTTGGTCGCTCTCCGCTCGTATTAATCGACCGTGGTATCAGAATAAATGCCGAATATTTTCGCGAAAATATTCTGGAGAGTGTATTAGTGCCCAAGGCTTTAGCAAACATTTTGGCCGCAGACCTTGGATATTCCAACAGGACTCAGCACCATCGCACTCAGCACGCGCCACCTAAGAATGGTTACAAAATGAGGTTTCTCGCTTCATTGCCAGCGCACAATGGCTACCAAAATCTCCGGATATCAATCCGTTGGACTATTGTGTCGATCACCTCAAGCAAGCGCTTCGCCGGGAATGGGGCAAAATACCGCAGAGCAACATTCGGGCAGTGTGTGACGGTTTCATTGGCCATTTGAAGGCCATAATTCGTGCCAAAGGTGACTTCGAACAAATCTAAATTTATTCTAAAATATGATGCTATTTCCGACATTTTTTGCTTTCGTTTAATAAAATTTAAAAAAAAATGTAAAAATTATGGCGTTTGACTTTGTTGCAGTTTTTCTTATCTCACCCTGTGTAGTGTGTATTTAAAGGTGTATCCAAGATTTCTTAGTTGTGGCCATTGTTTGACACAAAATTTACGATTTACAAATAATGGACAATTTAATACGTCCTTAAATCTGTTGTAAAAGTTATGCAATAATTAAATTTGTTTCGATAACCTCATTGAGTTACACCATACCATTCAATTTAAAACCATTTCATAATTTCTCATAGTTGTATTTTGAAAATATTTCCAAAATATTTTATTTATTGCTTTGCATGTATCCTCATGTTATAATGCTATCATTGACTCTTTTGCCACAGGCAGCCGTAACCTCATTAACCTCCAAATTTGTTACAAACGCAAAGAGAATATCGATCACAAGCCAACAAAGACAACAACGATATACCTTTGACCTATTTTAGTAGTCACTATTAATATGAATTAAATATCAGTGACAAAAACGGAAAACTTGCGTGCAACGATTTAAATTTCTCATATTTGCCGCCTGTGACACATTCTCTGCTAAGAGCGGATACACGCCACAACCAGCCAAGTGCAGAATTCTTGACGGATGACAAAATATTTGCACTGTCACTCAAAAACTAGACTTTGGTCATGATGCTAATGATAATGAAAATGTGAGAAGAGTGCTAGAAAAGGTGACATCAGGGTTTCCTAGTACACATGAGCAGTGTGGGTATCAGAAGGAAATTATAAAAATATTATGAGTCAGGTAAGAACTTACATTTCTGCACACCACTTGAAGTGGCATAGATTATTAAATAATGTCTATCTAATCACTCTTAAATTAGAAATAGATGTAGTGGAGGAGTCGTATAACTAGCAATGTGATCTAAAAATTTAATAGATGAGGGAAGAACTAAGCTTTCTGACATTCTGAGTCGCTTTATGCATGTCCGTCCGTCTGTCCATGCGCGTTCATGTATACAGAACACAGGTAGCTTTTATTGTTCGATTGAGATGCAATTTTCCACAAATCATTTTCAAATCGAATTCAGTCAAGAAGCTAGTACTTCAAATTTGGTGAAAATCGGTTAGATCGGAAAATCGGTTACTTGGCATTCGAAAAAGATCCATTGTTACTTTGATCTAATTCACCGGCCGACTGTATGATACCCTACACCACTTATGTATATAGTAGAGCTCGCCTAACAAATAAACCTTATATTGGGAATTTATGTGAAGTAGATCATATCAACGATGAACCTTATTCAAATGCGTACTATGGCTTTAGAGTAGTCAATATTTGGGAGCTATATCCATCGATTTATATGTATCGATTTTCAACATAATATACTGCAACCGAGTTTCACCAAAATTCGATTGAATATGAAAAAATCTATCCATATGGGGCAATATTACATATATGGTGGACAATAAACATAAAATCGGTTGAAGATTTATAACGAAGAAATATAAAAATCTGAACCGATCTCGATAAAATTTAGCAGAGCTATTTTCCAGCTGTATCTAATGTCCGGTATCAAATATCCTTGTTGTGGAGTGCATATTATGCATGTGAGTGATGTTAACCCCGAATCGGATGAAACGTGTATATGGGAGCTATAGCTATATCTAAACCGATTTTCACCAAAATTTGAAGTACTTGTTTCTAGGATGAATTCCGTCGGAAGTGCCAAAATTCTTTTAATTTGGGCTGATATTAGCCATTTGATGCACAATTAACCTGATATTGGATAAAGTTATATATGGGAGCTATATCCAAATCTGATCCGATCTCGATTAAATTTGACAGGGGTATTTCTGGGCTTCTGGTACCAAATATTATTCTTGTGGGCATACTACGCACGTGAGGGACTTAAACACCAAATCGGATGAAACATATATATGGGCTATATCTGAACCGATTTTCACCAAATTTTATGAACTTACTTCTAGACTGAACTCAGTTGGATGTGCCAAAATTGAGGACATTTGAACTGATATTGGCCATTAAGCGCACAATTAACCCCAAATCGATTGTTGATATATATGGGAGCTATATCTAAATATTGGTACTATAAGTTTGACTATTTGTATTGGATATTGTCAATCATATCTAAATATCAAATGATCTTCATATATTTGACTTCGTCTTAAATACCATTTTTATATCACAGTAAAAATGGGTGCTGATTAATAAACAGGTTATGGAGTTCTGATAAACCAAAAATCGCTACAGCAAAGAAGCGGGTTATTTGGATGTCATAATTGCGTTAAGTTATCCAATTTTTATACCTTCAGTCATATGGCTACAGAGGGTATATTTTATTTGAGATATATCGGTTTTAGATCATAGGTCTCTTTGGACCAAATTCGGAGTCGATCTAGGGGTGCCCGTATAGCCCCCATATAATAGTATCTCCCGATTTTCAGCATTTTCATGATTTTGGCGAGATTATTAACCGGAATTGTTTCAAATTTGGTATTTGAAGTTCCTAATGGATACTACAGCCTAAGACTGAAAATTGTCCACGTCTTCGTATAGCCCCCATATAACGGCACCTCTCTATATTCGGTATTTTGATGATTTTAGCGAGATTTTTCAGCGGAGTCTGTGACAGAAAATTGTCTATGTTGGTCCAGGTATTCGTATAGGCCCCATATAACGGTACCTCCCGATACTCGGTATTTTGAGAATTGCCAAATTCGTCCCAAAAAGGCCCGGCCAGGCCGAACTTGCAATTTTTTTACTTGTTGTGGTTATTAAAGGTTGCCGATTGATGTTGGATATTGTCCATCTGCAAACTCACTTATTTGACTGTCTCTTTTGCAAATGTTGCATTAATTAATTAAACAGGTTATGGAGACCAGTCGGTTCATTTAGAAAACATGATTGGGTAAAGAAGTCCAATAGTGTTTTTTTCTCATAAAATACTACTAGAATATAAGTTCGATTTCTCGAAATAATATTACAATATAAAACAAACTTACCTTGGTTTCGGATAACTGTCCGCCCTTTTCGAGCGTCTTTTGCGCAGCCATAACCGTTTGCCTACTTTAACTCGCATTTTGAAGGGGATATTTTCGGTGATGTGGTTAATGGTGATGGGAGCAATTTTTACCACTTCAGCGAAACACAGGCAGATGAAAAAATGTTTTGGATGGATGCACGCCTACGGACGTACAGCAAGGTACAAGGAGTAGTTTTGAATGGTTTCCGATGTAGTAAATGAAGGTTTCGAGGGGATTTCGAAACCGGATCACAGTTTAAAAATAAAATAAAATACTTTCACTGAAGAATGTGGTTGTTTTTTTTTTTTTTTTTGTTGATTTTTGCAAACAAACAAATGGAATGTAAATTGCAATAAAAAAAATTTTACTAAAAACTGTTTTGTTGTTTTTTTCTTTTTGATTAAAATTTTTGGGATATGCTTCGTTGCAAATTTAGAATATATTTTGCTGTCGTTGTTGATGATATTTCTTCGAAAACTGTTTTGTTTGGTGTTGCAACTGGTTGTGACTTTGCAGGTTTCCAATTCGATTTGAAATTCAAATTCAATTGTGTTCTGTGTGGCTTTGTTCCCAGACTTATGTTAGGAGGCAAAAAAAAATCACTTCTATTTTTTCATTAGCCGGGCAAAAGCTGCTGTTTTGTTACTTTTTGTTGAATTTATTGGTCGTTTTGTTGTCGTTTTAAGTGTTGGGGGCGTTTGGTTTCGATTTTTAATTTATTTTTTTGGGAATTTTGAATTTCAGTTTTCACAACTTAGAATTAATGCCTGACAGGTACTTGAATTTCCATTACAACTACAACACCAAAAAACATCTGTTGTAATGAGTTTTTGTTTCCAAACCTTTTTTTGTTGTGGGTGGGGTTGTTTGATATTTTTTATGAATTTGTTTCTTTTTAATTTATGTTTTTTTGTAGTACATTTAAAACTTATTACATTTTGTGCAGAGTTTGGTTGACGTAATTAGTTTTGTTGTTGTTGCGCCTTATGTATTCACTAGTTTGGAATATTCCCTTTTTATATATGTATCACACATACACATATTCTGTTGCGTATTTTTTTCTCTTTTTCTCACTCGTTTTTTTTTAGTTTATTTCCCTTAATTGTTAATTAATTTCCATTAAAGCCTTTCTTTTGTACATTTTCGTTTTTTTCTCACTTCCACTTTTTCTAGATAAATAATTTTTCGTATTCACAGAGTTGGTTATTTGCCCTCGTTTATTTTTTGTATATTTTTAGGTTATTGTCTGTTTCCTTTATTTAGACTTGCTGTTGAATGGTACAAAAAGAGAATATTTTTATCAGTCTAGTTCCACAATGTCTAATAGACTTTGTAACTAGTTTAGAAAATAATCAGACATTATGGAAGTGGACTATTTTTTTTTTGTTTTTGAATTTTTTATTGTACTTTCCGAATTAAATATTCACAGAGTATGTCATAGAATTTCAATTAAAACAAGTTAAAAAGCAGTAAGTTCGGCCGGGCCGAACTTTGAATACCCTCCACCATTTAGAACTAATTTGGAAATTTTCAAAAAATTAAACCCTTAAAAAATTCTGTTAAAATTTTAAAAATACCGAATATAGCTGTTATATTGGGGTCTATACGACGTGGACCTACATAGGCCTTGTTTGTCATAAGCCATTACCATATTAAAATTCGAAACTTGAAATAAACGGTGAATAATGTAGCTAAAATAATCAAAATATCGTATATAGGGAGGGACCGTTATATCGGAGTTGTGCGAAGACCTAGACCAGCATAGACAATTTTCTGTTAGAGGCTATAGCATCCATTATCCTCAAACAATTTGGGTGGGTATTGTACCTTAACTTGTCAAAATACTGAATATAGGGAGGTCCTGCTATATGGGGCCCATACGTAGACCTGAACCTGCATTGACAATTTTCTGTCACAGACTGTACTTTCCATTACGAACTTCAAATACCAAATAAGAAACAATTCGGGTGAATAATGTCGCTAAAATCATCAAAATACCGAATATCGGGAGGTACCATTGTATGGGGGCTATATGAAGACGTGGACCTGCACAGATATTTTTCTGTCATAGGCTGTAGTATCCATTTTGAACTTCAAATACCAAAGTTGAAACAATTCCGGTTAATAATGTCTCTAAAATCATCAAAATAGCGAATATCGGGAGGTACAGTTATATGGAGACTACATGGCGCATTTACGAACTTAACCTGCCTACTGGAAAAATAAACACGTGTGCAAAATTTGAGCCTTCTATCTCAATTCGTTCGAAAGATAGCGTGGTTACAACAGACAGACAGACGGACATGGCTAAATGGACTTAGAATTTTACGCTGATCAAGAATATATATACTTTGTTGGGTCTGACATGAGTATTTCGAGGAGTTTCAAACGGAATGACGAAGTTAATATACCCTCCATAGTATGGTGGAAAAACCAAACAATGGTTTTTCTGATATTCAAAGGAAACAATCCTTGAAAATAAAATTTAAAACAATTCCATTGAATAATGTCACTAATATCATCAAAATACCGAACGTTGGGGAATACCGTTATATAGAGGCTATACGAAGGCATAAACATGCAAAGTTATTTTATGTCATAGAAACCATTAAGATATTCTGAAATTTGAAACATGACATGAGTATTTCGGGGTGTTACAAACGGAATGACGAAGTTAATATACCCTCCATAGTATGGTGGAGGGTTTATATCATGTATCATATTTATACCTTCAACTACATGGCTAGTGAGGGTAGATATCATTTGATACGGCCAACCCTTGCCTCATCGAAATAACGGAATATTATTATCAAATTTAGATCGGGTTCGGAGATGGGCAATATCGGTCCTTTTGGTACCTCCACCACAAAAAGTCGAAATTTTCAAAAAAAAAAAAAAAAATATTTTGCTGCACAAAAAGAGAAAGGATAATCCGATTAAGCTCCAACTTTGCAAATCCTAGTATTTGCATCAGTACCTCTACCACAAAGGGCCAAAATTTGGAATATTTATAACTCTTATAAAATGTGATGTTAGAGTCCGATTGTCTTCAAATTAAACACGTCACAATATTTTTATTAACCCAAGGTCTTGTTCGTCTGAAGACGGAATATGTTGATCCATATCCTGGAAGCTCATAAAACGCGAAATTAACATTCGATATCCTTTCGACTTGGCAAATCCCAATATTTCCATCAACATAAGATCTGTGAATAACCAAACCGAATATAAAATCCGAAATAAGCATCTGGTTCTCCTTATATTTCACACATCGCATTATTTCTACTAACAAATATCGGTTCACTCCTTCTGATACCTCCCCCATAAAGGGTCAAAATATTGAATATCAATGAAGCTCATAAAACGCGAAATTAACATCAGATTCCATTCAGACTTGGTAAATCTCAATATTTGTATCAAAATAATATAATAACAGATCTTTGGGTCCGCAAAATCTGGTACCTCATGTATATTTCCACATTTTCCAAAAATTTCCACATATCTCATATAAAGTATAGGAAGTAGACGATATAGTTCAAATATGGCACGTTATAATAGTTATATCAGACGATACGAATTGGACAATATTGGTTAGAAAAATCATAAGTCAAGGCTGGGGGTATACATCTGTCGGCGAAACCTATTAATACTATATAACTTGTTCTAGAACTAATTTTTGTGTGGGGGCAAAGTATCCGGTAAAATTATAAGCTGCAATTTTTCATTTTTCTTTGGAAAACATTTTTCCTACTTTGTTGATATCAAAGGGGTTCTAGTAATGACCTACTTCATTTATTTCCACAAAGTTTTTAGTGTTATTATCCGCACTCTATTTTCAATTTCATTTCGTACCATTTCCGAAACTACCAAAATACCACAAATATTCATATTTGGTCACGGTGATTAAGGTTAATGCCAATTTATTACTCAATTATACAGGGCTAGAAACCAATAACAATAAAACCATAACATTTCGCCTTGAAGTTTTCCATGAACATGTTTTCCTTTACATGACATCTCTCCTTGTTTTGCGATACATCGCTTTTATTGTGAAAGCACTTTTATTAATGTCGATTATTTTACACTTCATAAACCGCACAATTGATGAGCAATTCTCGTTGACACATACAATCAAACTCACTTCCATACATATGTAAATATACAAGGGGAAAATTCAATTTATTAAAATTCATGCAAAGGGAGATGATGTTGCAGAGGGTCCGACAACTTGTCGCATAGACAATCCAACTTAAATTTAGAAAACGCTTTGTTTTTCTATTTTTCAAAAAGAAAATGGTTAAATGTTATTTTGTTGTTTGACCGACCGGCAACCGGAAAGCGAAAAATTGATTTTTTAAAGTGTTTTCGTTTACTGTCTGTTTGGGAAAAGTGTCCGACACGTTTGGAAAGCGTTTAGAGCGGTGGTCTTAATCGAGCGAGTGTTACAATCTGAATGTCTTGACAATTTCAGTAAAGAAATTTCGTAGTTTTTTTTTCGTGTTCATTCTTCCATTCCTGTTCCTACGTCTGTCCGTCTGTCTGCCCGCCTTTCTTTGTTTCTTTACTGTGTGTTGTGATGATGGTGATGGCCTGACTGACTGACTGTGGAATGGAATATGACTGCGTGCGTCGTCCATTTATTTTTATTTGATTTTATTCGGTTGTGATGGTGACGTCGTTAACGTTCAATTTCATTTGAATGCCTTGGTGGTTTTGCTTCTCAGTGATTACGTTGTTGGTGTTTGCTTTTGTCTTTTAAGGTTGGTTTTCCACACTAGGCCGGTTGTTTTGTATTTTCTTACATTTCCCGCAAATCGTGGAAATTTTGACAGATTTTCTTTTACATTTTGTATTTTTTAAGGCTCGTTTGTTGTTGTTCTGCGTGAAAGAAGGGTATTTTGAGTTCAATATCAAGAGAATGTCATTGTCATTGCAATTCAGTGGCTTATAGGTTGCGAAATAAGGGTTTGAACGGAGAAATGCAAACATTTGTTCAACAATCGTTCAAATAATACTTGTAACAAAAAAGTGAAGGGGTTTTGAAAGGTGGAAACAGGTAAACCGTCGTTGTATCAAAATCATTGCATACTTTTAGGCTTATGAAAAAAGAAAAGAACCCTTAACATGGTGTCTGTTGGAATTGTAGGCTTTCGTAAAAAGGAAGGAGGCGCTGGGGCCAAATTCTTGTACATGATATCGAAAAAATTCCGAACGAAATGAATTTCTTTGTGTTAAATTTAGATTGATAAAACTGAAACTTTTGGCACAAACATTTGGTTTTTAACTCGTAAAATTCGATATTTAGTAAAAAATATGCCAGAACTACAACTCTTGAATTTCTCCAAATCAATATTTAAATTTTTATAGAAATAAAACATTTATTTTAAAAATACTGTTTACACCCTACACCACATAGTGGTTAGGGTATTCTGACTTTGTGCATTTGTTTGTAACAGGGAGAAGGAAGCAAAATAGACCCATAGTTACTTCTGAGGATCTTAATATAATCACTTTCTGAGTCGATTTATAATTGTCAGTGAACAAAATGCAGGTCGTATATCATATTATCCGATTGAGATAAAATTTTCCAAACAATATTTGTTGGGCCCAAGGAGGAACCCAACTGAAATTGGTGATAACCGGATCAGATTTAGATATAGCTCTCAAATATCTTCAACCGACTTCTGGTTAACTGTGCACCAAATGGCTAATATAAGTCCAAATGACCTGTATTTTGATACATCCCACCAAATTCAGTGTAGATGCAAGTAAATTAAATTTGGAGAAAATCGGTTCAGACATAGCTATAGCTCCCATATATATGTTTAATCCCATTTTTGGGTTCAAAGTCCTTAAACAAGCATAATATTTACTCCAAAAGAATGATTTTTGGTACCAGATATCTTACAAAGCTCGGAAATACCTCTAACAAATTTTATCAAGATCGGATCAGATTTGGATATAGCTCCCATATATATCTTCAACCGATTTCGGGCTAATTGGGCACCAATTAACCAATACCAGTCCAAATGACCTGTATTTTGGTACATCCCAGCAAAAATCAGTCTAGAAGCAAGTAAGTTAAATTTTGAGAAAATCGGCTCAGATATAGCTATAGCTCCCATATGTTTCATTTGGTGTTTAAGTCCCTCGCAGTCGTAATATACATTCGACGACAATGATATTTGGTACTGGAAATCAGATACTGCTCGAAAATACCTCTGTTAAATTTTATCGAGATCGGTTCAGATTAGGATATAGCTCCCAT